TAACGGTTCAGCCCCATTTCTTGGACTACCAAACCATACTGTACACTAATCTTTAAACAATATCCTTGTACTTTATAAGATTGAATTTTAGTCAAACTCATCTTTGAATTTCAACTGCATTAAGGGTTATGTTTGTATTTTAAAGTAGGTATTGATATGTGGTGAAACTTAGAATACAAATAATGGAAGCATGAAATTTTGTTAACTTGGCAGTATTATCTTGCTTGTGCTTTGAATGTGTGGTTATGCATGTGACATTTAATTAATTAGTACACTATTTATGTGTGAAATTACTTTGCCATTTGATATGGCAATTAACACTCAAAGGTTCTACAACTTCGTGGATTTTATGTCATTTTGAATTGGTAATTAAAATTGCAATATCCTGATCATTATGTGAAGTAAAGATATAACGGTTAAGGGAAACTAGAATCCCTCTAATTATCATATAATTACCTCTTAATAACATTATGATAATATGCAATGGTTTTTCTTCCTCTTTTATTTCTTTTTGTTATTGCATAATAGATGTTGCCTTTGGGTTTTGATAATCGGGCATCTTTTATTCCAGGTATGACTAATTGTTTTCTTTTTTGTGAAAAATCTCCCTCTTTTGGCATGCTTATTGATTTTGATTTTGAGGAAAGATCCCGCTGCATAATCCTGTGATCCTTGGATATTGAGCATAGCATGAATAAAGAAAGAATTTTGTTCAACATACCATTATTTCAAGTTCCTAATGGACTCATCATTATTGTCTCAAACCCCGCTACCTCGGAGCTAATTAATAAACTTCAACTAATCAAAATTCTTTCTTTTTATCTCCCATAACCTACAATCAATTGAATTAATTATTATTTAAGTAACAATTGTTTCTAATTTTACACATTTATTCATTTGCTTCTTGCTCTTCCATTTTTCCCCAAACATTTACGAATGTAGGATCTTTCTTCTTCATAACCTTAAATTGGGCCAGTTATGTATATTACTCTATAAAACTAAGATCAGTTTCTTGTCTTTTCCAATTTTTTTCTAAAGTCATATATTTCTTTGTGTTTCTTATAAGGGTGAAAAGGCCAATTGGAAGGAAAGATATAAAGGTAAAATTAATGCAAATTATTATGAAACTTTATGTTGGATGATCATTATCACAATCACGGCCAATTTGTTCCAATTCATCTTCTTTATTTCCGATTTAATTGTATCAAAGTTGTGAAGCTTATAAATTAGAATTTTGCTGATTTAACTACTCCCTTCACTTTAGTACAACCTTCCAATGAGGTATTTTCTGTTCCACCAAATTTTCATTTGCTTGCTTTCACAGAACTCTGTGTATGATTGTTTTCCACTAGCAATTTCATTATTCATATGGAATTTTTGAAATATATAGTGAATGTTTGATCATCATTGCAGGGTTAGTAGTGAAAATACTGCATTTGCAAGCAAATATTGGGAAATATCATTAACCACTTTCTACCTGTGGCTTCCAACTCCAATTTATGTGTACAATTTCTTCTCATTTTTGGTTTCGTGATGGGGTTGATCTACCAAATAAGCTCTTTTCACATGAGGGTGTTTTTCTATTGTATTTTACCATTACAATTGAGATGTGCTATCAAAGTAGAAACAAATTTTCACATTTTCCTATAGTGTGAATCTTTCAAGAGAGTATGAAGTGCATTCTCTTTAGAGTTAAATTGTGACAATATGTCACTTATTCCTTTCAAGAATGCATTATGAAATAGACACCTTGAACTCCCAAAGAAGTTTTACTCATTTTTGTTTGTCCAATGCAACAAATTTGGTGCTGACATTACCGATTGCTTTAGGAGAGGCAAAAGTGCAAAAATTATCCTCAATAAATTCTATGAGCTAGCTCTTAACTTCAAGTTATTAGTTCTCAATGGATTTCCATCAATATGAACTCATAAATTTATTTCCTTCTAAAAATCCTGTTTTTGGATCATGTTATGTTCTATTTTCCTATTGATCAGAACAATTATGAATTCTATGCTCCAATCCACATCATGCTTGACGAGACCAAAAATATATTAGGCATCAACTTGCTTGGATTTTGGATTCTATGTGGACAAAAAACTTAGGGACTTCCTCGATCATAGTTAAGATAGATTGTCTAATACTTCCAAATTATTTGTGTGATACTTTTGAGCTTTACAAGGTTGACTCTTTCTTTTTGAGTGTCAGGTTTGTCAAAATTGATGTGGATAAAATAAAACTGGCTAAGAACAAAGCTAAGGGTTAAAACTTTTTTAATCTTATAATGAGTTGTAGTATAAGGATGAGAATTATCTATTTGACATAAAAAAAAAGTTTTTGCTCTCGTTTGTTATGTTGATGTTAAATAATAAAAGTAATATATTATAGCTTCAACTTTGGATGTTCTCTTATTATGTTATTCAGTTAGCCTTTTTGACATTTCCTTCTAGTTTCTTAATTAACGTATGTAGAAGAAATACTATGTGCATTTAGAAATTAACTTTATTTTTATGTAGAGTATAAAATGATTTGTTTATGGGTAATTCTATTTCAACTGATATGATACTTACTTTAAATACATGTTTTTTTAAAAAACTTATATCTGCAATACATTCTATTTTCTCAATTTTATTATATTTTTCTTAAAAATTATTTAAAACATTTTAAATAGAGGCACCCAATACCCGCGCGTTGTGCGAGCTTTCATCTTCTAGCATGAGAACATAGAAATGAGCGCAAACCATCGCATCATGAACTTGAGAAAACCATTTGCCTTCAAGTTTGCCTCCAATCTTTCAAGCATCTCATGAGTCATACCAAGCATGTCTTTTCTCTAGAAAATATTTAAACTGCTTGCTAGAAAATATTTGTTTAAAACTGCTGTGCTGATATCCCGGCCTAATTAAGTTGTGAACCTTTCCATCATGTACACAATGAAGAGAGGGGTCAACCACTGAGCTTCAGTGGCAATAAAAAGGGATTAAATTTCTATTTGGGTTGTAGGTCGGAGGTTTGAATCCCACTTATTTTGAAAAAATTCAAAAAAGATGATAGAACACCCCTTTGATCTAGTCAGATTTGCATGCCTACTAATTTTTTACACAGCCTCTTTAGACTCCCCTTTTCTATAGAATATGATAAATTAGATTATATAAATATTATTATTGTTTGAAAAAAAAAAAAGAGGAGAGGGGTCACCTGACTTTCCAAAATAAAAAAACCATTGATTTTTTTTAAAATTTTTTCTCTCAAAGTAGTTCTACTTCCCACGAGAACAACTATGACATCAGCTATCCCCATCCAAGGGGCCCCAAAAATAAAAAGAGCAAGCAAAGCAAATGACAAAACAACAGCAATACAAATGTGGAGACCATAATAGTATCATAGTCTCCTGAAATAGAAGATCAAAAATAAAATGTTTTAGGGTATAATTTTTTTTTATGACACTGGGATATCTAGGCTTTCGACCCGACTAATCCCCTGCGACTCGGGAGAGGGCGCCTCAACCCACTCAAAGCACGATAATTACGGGACTCGAACACTGATCAATTTTTAAAGAAGGATTACATGATTGACCAAGTTGCCCTGCAGGGGCTTTAGGGTACAAAAATATTTGCCAGACAATAACTTGTCAGAACATTGTTTGAATCCCACTTATTTTGAAAGAATTCAAAAGAGGTGCTAGAACATCCCTTTGATTTAGTCAGATCTGCATATCTACAAATTTCTTACACAGCCTCTTTTCCCCATTTCTATAAAATATGATAGATTAGATTATACAAATATTATCATTGTTTGAAAAAAAAAAAAAGACAAGAGGGGTCACCTGACTTTCCAAAATAAAAAAACCATTGAATTTTTTAAAAAAATTTTCTCTCAAAGTAGTTCCACTTCCCACGAGAACAACTATGACATCAGCTATCCCCGTCCAAGGGCCCCAAAAATAGAAAGAGCAAGCAAAGCAAACGACAAAACAACAGCAATACAAATGTGGAGACCATTATAGTATCATGGTCTCCTGAAATAGAAGATCAAAAATAAAATGTTTTAGTGTATAATTTTTTTTTTATGACACTGAGATATTTAGGCTTTCAACCCGACTAATCTCCTGCCCCTTGGAAGAAGGCGCCTCAACCCACTCAAAGCACGATAATTACGGGACTCGAACACTGATCAATATTTTAAAGCAGGATTACATGATCGGCTAAGCTGCCCGCGCAGGGGCTTTAGGGTACAGAAATATTCGCCAGACAATAACTTGCTGGAGCACAAGCTTTGACAAAGCCTAACCAAGCAATCACATAGTAACCAAAACGCCCACAAAAATTTGACCGGAATACTTTCGTAAAATATTTCGTTGAATATTTCGTAAAATATATTAGCAGAGTCTACACAAGTTTCACATGTGATGTAGTACAAATCTCGGGTCTATATAAGCGTGCGCTGGCGGCACTTTACTAGCACAACCAAAATCTCGCCCTCAAAATTCCTTTCTCACAAAGTCTACCAAAACTTTTTTCCTTCTTACAACCCTCACTCCCATTATTCTCTTTCCTTCTCACAATGGTTAACTTGATAGCCTCTCACATTGTCAAACCAGCAAGGCCAATCCCAGGAAAGTAATGTATTTATCTGAGTGTGATCAATGTAAACCTTGACTCATGCAACTACCGTCCACTTTTACAAGCCAGAAAATCCAGAATTGCTAAAAGATGCACTAAGGGTTTTGAAAGACTCATTAAGCGAAGCCTTGGCAAGCTTTTTATCCTCTTGCTGGACGTTTAATACCAGAAAATGGAGGCCGAGTTGAGCTGCGTTGCAATTCCATGGGTGCTTTACTTCTTGAAGCTCAATCTGAACTCAAATCGAGGATTTTGGAGACTTTTGCCCAACTCACAAATCCGTGCCCTGATCCCACCTATAGATTACAATAATACTCCACTTCATGAGGTACCGCTCCTTCTAGTGCAAATCACAAAGTTTGCCTGTGGTGGTTTCTTTAGGCTCGGCCGTGTCTCATGTCATTGTGGACGGTCAAAGCGGGTGTCATTTTGTTGCCGAATGGGCAAAGATTGCACGCGGTGAAAAATCTGATAATCAACCATACCTAGATCGTACAATTCTTCAACAATATGAAGAGTGCCCATCGTCAATAGCTCCAAAATTACAATACCCCGACTTTTACCCACTACCCGTCCTGATAGGCCAGTCTAGCAGCTTAGAAGAGCGTAAAAAGGCTACTACCTGTGCCATGTTTCAGTTAAGTAAAGAACAAATTGAGCAGCTCAAGAACAACGTCAACAACCACAACGATTTGGTTCACAAAACTAGCAATCATCCGCCATTTAGCCGGTTTGTAGCTGTATCTGCGCATATATGGAAGTGCTTATCCAAGGCCCGTATGCACAGCCCCGACCAAGAAACGGTTCTATATGTGACTGTGGATTTTCGCAATCGGCTTAAACCACCCTTGTCCGGAAGGTATTTTGGAAATGCTGTCTTACCTGTACCAGCAAGAGCCATTGCAGGTGATCTCCAATCGAGGCCACCAAGCTATGCTTCAAGCAAAATTAAGGAAGCAATAGACAAGGTTACAGATGAATATGTAAGGTCATATCTTGTTTGTATGAAGGACATGCCCGAGGTATCTAGCAGTCGACATTTTCACACTGTTGGTTGTGCACAGGGGTTGTTCTTTGGAAATCCCAATTTGCTTATTACTAGTTGGGTTGGGCTGGACGTGTACAAAGTCAATTTTGGGTGGGGAGAAGCAATTTCCATGACCCCTGGGTCATTAGGTTATGATGGAAGACTCTTCCTTATTCCTGGTCCTAATGGGGATGGATCGTTGATTATCCCACTGCGCCTGCAAGTAGAACATATTAATGCTTTTAAGAAGTATTTCTACGAAGATATATAATGCTGCAGACTTGCAAGGTTGGTTCTAATGCTGTTTGTGTAGTTCATGGGGCTCACTGAAAAGCTTAGTCATATGTGAGTAAACATTATTAATTGCCACTAACATTTGAATTTATTTGTCGGACAGGGAACCAACGAATTGGCAGCTGCTGGAGAACAGTTTGAAGAGCTATTATTGCAGGCAAACGGGACGTGGATCTTTTCAGATATGGAAGATGGAGTAGACGGAATAAAAAATTTGTCTCTTAAGGTAGTAGCAAATAAGGAGACTTTTACTCCCTGTGATAGCTAGTATGACCTTTACGATGTCCTGGTCCATGTTACACGTGACGGTTTTCTGTGCTGCTGACATATATACATTTAGTTTTCCCTGGCACGTGTTGATGGTATCATGATATGGCACTACTTTATGTAAGATGGAAAAATGCATTTTCTTATGTATGATGGGTCCACTACTTATGTAATACAATCCTTGAGCATTTTAAAACCTGGAAGAATTGTCAAACCAAGTGTAATGCCACAATCATGTATGCTAACACTAGGCAGGGCTGGCCATATTTCAACCTTTATATGGCATAGTAATTATTTGGAAATTGAAGTATGTATAAACTTTCAAGTTGGCTGAAGCAATCAGCCTGACAATTTAGAAGCTATATGCATAGAGATAATTAACTTCTACAATGCATATAAAAGTGCCAAGTGATATATTAGCTGCTTAATTAACAAAAAAATTCAACACTAAGTGACATTGCGACTAAATGACAGAAACAAATTAAAAAATAATTCATCTTTTTTATTTTAAGAATTTTCATATTTGTATCTATCATTTAGTAATGTCGTGATTTACAGTCGTTTTTTGTAGGTGATCTTTTAATCAATGACATCTCCTAGAGATTGGTATCTCTCCAATGCTATTTATTTGTCTAACTTAAATTTTCTACGGCACTGCAAATGAAAAATATGTGTAGTTTTAAATATCTGACAGACACTATTCCAGTTTTCCTTATGACAGACAATATTCCAGTTATGACAGACAATGGGTTTGTTTGGATAGAGGATTATTTGCCAAAATTTATTTGCTTACATCATCATTACAATTTCTAACACATCTTTTTATCTTTTCAATTACCTTTTTATCTCACATTCATCACATCACAAAAAGTATTATAGTAAAAATATCTCAAATAATTTACAATGGTATTCTACCCTTCCAGTAGTAAAGTATTATTAAATTATTAAACGTGCATGAAACAAATGAAATGCCAATAACTATGGATTTGAATTTTGTGAATAAAGAAAATAGTGTTGAGATAATCATCCTCAAAAAGAATATGACAATATTCGAATTTTGATTAGTTGGAACTCAATGCGGTCACTAGATATTGGGACGTATACAAAAAAAAAAAAAAAGTACATGTTTAATCTTTGCTTATGGCTCTTTCAACATGTATATAGATTTACATTAAAAAAATGTTTATGCAGTTTTTAAAATATGTCGGACGTTATTGATATTCCACTTTTTCTCTTTCTACTTCCCACCCCCCGCTCCCCTTATTGGCATTCTACCCTACTTGTTCATTTTCTCTAAAAGTAGTTCCACTTCCCCCGAGAACAACTATGACGTTAGCTATCCCCATTTAAGGGGCCCCTCAAAAAGAAGAGTAAGGTTCCGTTTGATAAAACTGAATCTGAATTCTGAAATCTGAGTTCTGAAATCTGAATACTGAAACAATTAATTTGCTGAATTTTAAGCACTGAAAAAAATATATGAATGTCTAAATTTTAATGTTCAACCTATTTATACTGTTTGATAAATATTTATAGCTGAATGCTTAATAAGTTTAATTTAACAATTTTGCCCTTATATCCTTTCATTAAAAAAGAAATAGAATCTATGATTTAATTAGTTTAAAATTGTTAGGTATGAAAATGATAATATTTATTTTTAAATCAAATTAATATAAAATATGAAATATATTATATGAGGAGTATGGAGAAGATGTGAAAGCCATTAGAAAGGGAGAAAAGAGAAACTAAAAATCGTTAGATAGAGAATATTATATTGTTTAATTAGATAAGAATTTTGAACATAATTAACAAATAAGGGCAGATTTGGTAGATAAGATAAGGTAGTTGAAGTAATTCTATTGATTCTTATCAGAATTAAGCATTCAGCTAGGATTCTTGTGCTAAAAAAAAATACACACAGCAGTACTGCTTAAAAAATTCAGCAGATATATTTTCATTTATTAAACACTCAAAACATCTGAATGCCCGAAAAAATTTAGATTCAGCACTTTTTTATGTTATCAAACAGACCCTAAGCAAAGCAAATGACAAAACAACAGCGATACAATTGTGGAAACCATAATATAGTATCATAGTCTTCTAAGATAGAATATCAAAAATAAAATGTTTGAGTACAAAAGCATTTGTCAGACAACAATTCATCAGAGCACATGCTTTGACAAAGCCACATGAACATTTTATTAAGCAAGAAATCACACCATAAATCAGAGTTGCAAAACTTTGATTAGGCATAGAGATTAAATTTTCTCCAGATAGCAAAAAATTAGAAGCATGTGGAAAGGAATCAAAACTAAGGAATAGTTTTCTAACTCAATCTACCAAGATTTTATTACAACCACCAAAAATCATAAATGCTAAAATAATTGTCAGAAAATAAAAAATATATCATTAGCTTTCCATTCCAACGAGCATATTAAACGCTAAAATTGTATATCTCACTCTCTTTTTTGCATAATAATAAAGGTAAAAGGCAGAAAAGAAGCCCTACTCCAATAAATTACAATCAACAAAATAGGGAAGGGAAAAAAAATAAGAGAATCAGAGACAAACAAAAAGGAAAAAATTAGATAATTTAAACAAAAGCATAAGAGATTTAGAGATAATGATCTGTAAAACCATTACACATTAACTAAAAGATGAATAAGAAAAACTTAGAAGAAGAAGAGGGGCAGAGGAAAAATTTGGTTTCCGAGAATAGTGATGAGAGAGAAATACTCGAGGAGAAAAACTAAGAATGAAGAAATGGTCATAACGGTTGAAGCAACGATGAACTATGGAAAGAAAATTAAGAAATCTGACAAGAGCCCTGGAAATCTGATAGCTAACTTATTTTACATAATATTTCGTTTATATCATAAATATATTTTTTAATTCATTTTTTAATGCGTAAATCATATATTCACTGATAGTATATATACTATCATCGTTAGATTTATGACATGTTTATAAAAGTTGAATTTCAAATTCAAATTTTACATAGTTGTCATTTATCCAATGCTGATAATATATACATTATCAGTGTAAAAAAAATTAATTATTTTTATATATTTTTATATATTTTAATTATTTTTTATTTTATATATATATCACATTATAAAAATATTATAATAATTATTTCAAATAATATTCTATCCAAACGCAATGCTGAACTCCTCCGCCAGACCATATCTTTTATCACCTAATCCCAAGATTGAAAACCGTGGGAAGCGTAGGGGTTTATGTACCTACATTTGGTAGCAGCAGATGCGATGCCATAGCTGTTTGTACTTTGTAGTGAAAGGGCCGCACCGGGCCTTGTCACATAAGTACATGTGATAATATTAATAAAAGTTTGATAACCAAAGTACATGCATCCATATTACACGTAACCCAAAACAAAAGCGGGGTCTGATAACAAAAGTACATGTCACACGGGATATTGGCTCACTACTAGGCCTGAGCAGCTCGAGTCAAAACTCGATTCGAGCTCGAGCCGTTCGTTAAGACACATGAGGCGAGTTCGAGCCTTCGTTTTTTAGGCTCAATAGCTCAATGAGCCGCTCGTTGGGCTCGAATAAATGTAAAATTATAAAAATACCCCTGAATCAGTTAAAATTTACAACTTCTCTGCACACTCGGAGTCTAAGCTATAATCGATCTTCAGCCACTGTAGTCTAAGCTATAATCAATCTTTTTCTGATACACTGTACTTTGAACTTTCCTCCTTCCTTCGATTAGGTTAACTTCTCTGCTCACTCCTTTCTCACTTCCTTCGATCGATCTTCTTCCTTCGCTGACCGACTGTCCCAAACTCCCAATTTCCACTTCAGCCACTGCCATCGCTGCTATTGCTAGCTCCATCTCCCCACCACTTCCTCCCACTTCCGCCACTGCCATCGCTGCTACTACTAGCTCCATTTCCACCACTTCCGCCAACACCACTTCAGCAACCTCCAAGCCGCGCAAGAATCTTAGTGCGCAACCCACTGACGGAGGCTGACTGACGGACGAGGATCTGGAAGGTGATCCCAACCAGCTTTCCCTCTTTTCTCGCGCGAGGCTGACTAACGGACTTTCCGGACCCAACCAGCTTCTCGGCACATTCCCATCTCTGGGCTTTGTCTAAGCTTTTCCAGCGTCGCATGTGTGCAACCCGCTAAGCCCATCTCCACCACTCCCTACCATGTCCAATATCCTCATATCAGTCCACTGGATTTTCTCCCTAGATTTTGCAAGTATATATTGAGGTTCTTTTTCTTTTTCTTTTCCTTTTTCTTTGGAATCTGGAAGGTGATCCACTTTGCTCTGCTTTCAAGTAGTAATAAAAGGGGTAAATGAAATTCCATGTCACACTTTTTGGTGCTGTCTTGATGATAGTTTGCAGTGTACCCCATTTATTCTGTAATTTATGTATCAGATGTTACATCCCTGTAATTCTTGAATATAAGAAGTTCTTTAGCTTTCCTCGAACCAAGTTTTGGTTTTCCAGGATATGATGCTATCATGATAACAGGATTGCAAATGAATCTTTGTCCACAGAACTAAAATTTGTTGGAACTAAAGAGAACACTTTTTATTTGTTAGGAACTAAAATTGCGCATTTTGATTTTGGAGAACTAAAATTTCACAGTAAGCTTTTGCATTCTGAGAAGCACACCATGCATAAAATATTGCTTAAGGAATGTCAATGAATGTGAAGCAAATAAATCATTTCTATTAAAACAAGCTGCTCCATCATTTCTATTAGAATTGTTGGATGTCCCTTATAAGGCTTTGCTCGTTGAAAGAAATCCTCCCTTTGAGATTGACAAAAGTAGTAACCCTCAAATAATTCCTGGAATCCGAAAGGAAAATAAAACACAAGTAGCATCCACAACAAAAGATATACTACGACTACCTCATCACCCAACTCTGTTAGGAAATGTAACTGGTTGTACCAGATTTTGTCCATTCCCATGCTACATCACAAATGTCTACCATAAGACTTGCTGTCCTCTTGTTTCTTGAAAAT